TCTAGGCAACCCTAAAGACTCCATTAAAAAAAAAAAAAAAGCTATTAGAACTGACAATCAAATTCAGTAAAGTTATAGGATACAAAATCAGCATACAAAAATCAGTAATATTTCTATAGGCCAACAGTAAATAATCTGAAAAGGAAACCAAGAAAGTAATCCCATTTACCATAGTTACAAAAATAAAATAAAATACCTAGGAATAAACTTACCCAAATAAGTGAAAGTTGTCTATAATGAAAACCATAAAATATTGATGAAAAAAATTGAAGAGGACACAAAAAGATGGAAAGATATTCCACGCTCATGGATTGAAATAATAAATATTGTTAAAATGCCCATACTACCTGAAGCAATCTACAGATTCAACACAATCCCATCAAAGTATCAATGACATTCTTCACAAAAAAAAAAAAAAATCCTAAAATTTATATGGAACCATTAGAGACCCAGGACAGCCAAAGCCATTTTGAGCAAAAAGAACAAAACTGGAGGAATCACATTGCTTGACTTGAAATTATACTACAGAGCTGTAGTAACCAAAACAGCATGGTACTGGCATAAAAACAGACACATAGACCAATGGAACAAAATAGAGAACCCAGAAATAAATCCACACATCTATAGTGAACTTATCTTCAACAAAGTTGTCAAGAACATACAGTGGAGAAAGGACGATTTCTTCAATAATTTGTACTGAGAAAACTGGCTAGTCATATGCAGAAGAATGAAACTAAACCCTTATCTCTCACCATATATAAAAATTAAAACAAAATGGATTAAAAACTTACTTCTAAGACCTGAAACTATGAAACAACTGAAAGAAAACTTTGGGGAAATGCTTCAGGACATTGGTCTGAGCAAGGAAACCCAAAGCACAGACAACCAAAGCAAAATTGGAAAAATGGGATCATACCAAGCTAAAAAGCTTCTGCACAGCAAAGGAAACAATCAACAAAGTGAAGAGACAGCCCACAGAATGGGAGAAAATATTTGCAAACTACCCATCTGACAAGGGATTAATAACTAGAATAGATAAGGTACTCTAACAACTCAATAAGAAAAAAAGCAAATAATCCAATTAAACAATGAACAAAAGATCTGAATAGACATTTCTCAAAAGAAGACATACAAATGGTCAACAGATATATGAAAAAATACTCAACATCATTAGTCAACAGAGAAATGCAAATCAAAACTGTAATGAGATATTATCTCACCCCAGTTAAAATGGTTTTTATCAAAAAGACAGGCAATAACAAATCCTGGAGAGGATGTGGAGAAGGGGGAAACCTTGGTATACTGTTGGTGGAAATGTAAATTAGTGTAACCACTAGGGAGAACAGTATGGAGGTTCCTTAAAAAACTAAAAAGAGAACTACCATATGATCTAGCAATTTCACTACTGGATATCTATCCAAAGGAGGGGAATATGTGTATCAAAAAGATATCTACACTCCTATGTTTATTACAGCACTATTTACAATAGCCAAGATTTTCAATCAGCCTAAGTGTCCATCAATGGATGAAAGGATAAAAAAATGTGATACATATACACAATGGAATACTATAGAGCCTCAAAAAAGAATAAAATCCTGCCATTTGCAACAACATGGATGAAACTGGAGAACATTATGTTAAGTGAAATATTGAAGCACAGAAAGACAACTCTCACATGTTCTCACTCATATATGGGAGCTAAATATTAAAAACAATTGATCTCATTGGGACAAGAGAATAGAATGATGGTTACCAGAGGCTGGGAAGGATACTAGGGAGCGGGGCATAATAAGGGAACAGTTAGTGGGTACAAAAATGCAGTTAGTTAGATAGAATGAACAATATTTGATAGCACAACAAAGTGACAATAATCAAAAATAAGTTAGGGTATACTTTAAAGTAGCTGAAAGAGTAGATTTGGAATGTTCCTAACAAAGAAATGTTAAATGCCTGAGGTGATGGATACCCCCAATAACCCTGATTTGATTAATTTACATTATATACCCGTATCAAAACATCACATGTACCCTATAAATATATGCAACTATTATGTACCCATAATAATTTTAAAAAATGAATAAAAAACTTTAAAAAAAGAATTTATGTGGGAATTTTAATCCTTACCCCCATACTTATCATGGACATATTCAAGATCATGCATTGCTCATTACATTTTTTTTTGCATGTAAGTCTCAACTCCCCAAAATGTGAACATGCATTACACTGTTTACTTCTCCCATATTCTCCACAGTGAGTAAATCGAACTATTTTTTCTAGATATTATATAGATAGATAATATTTTACTGATTTTATAATGTGAACAGGCAAATGTATATGAGAAAAGTAAATACATTTTCCACTATTCTATTTTGTTAGAAGATAAACTCAGATATTTGTGACAGTTTTAAATATTATGATATTGAAGCAGAAAAAAGGTGATGAAAATTGAAAAAACAATGAGAAAATGTAGGAAGAAATAATTAGCATGACTAGGAAGGCCAAAGAGAGATGATAGCAAATTTCAAGGAAAAATTCGTCATGTATCTGTTATTTTATGAAAGAGTAACAATTAATAATATTTACAGATCATAAGAAGAAGAATATGTTTTTACTCATTTATTTTTTTTACCAAATGTTTATGTTCACTATTTGTTTTAATAGAGATTTAGCATACAACGAAGGGTTAAGTTCACAATACAACAAGGTAATTTTCCTGCATTGCCTTATACTAAACCAAGTAGGAAATATTTTAGAAAGAGAATTTTGAAAAGAACAAAACTTGTGTCACGTAGCAGGAAGACATATTATTTCACAATATCTGTTCTGAATTTCTTCCATGTTTAATAAATAAAATAGCTGAGCACATGGACTCTCAGATTAAATTTCCAAGTTTTCATTCACGAGTTCTTGGTGTGGTCAGGTAATTACTGTTTTGGCCAATGAGATGTAAGTAGATTTTATGGCAGTTTCCAAGAATCTTCATCAAAATAATACAGCTGGCACATGTTCTTTGTCATTTTTTGCTATTCTTTCAACCAATAATTACTCAAATATTGTCCAAAGGACTTTTTTCTTCTTATCAGGAATCATAACAGATTGTTGTTGTTTTTTTTTTAAGTTTTTTAAGCTGCAATCCAAATTGTCAGCTGCTATTTCAGATCTATAAATAAGAGATAATTTTGATCGAAATTTGAGAGTTTGAAAGAAGACATCTACCAATAAATTCAATTGAAACCCAATCTACAAAGGAAAACACTCGCAAAAGTAGTAATCTTTTAACTTTAGGAATTCTGCCTTAGTTGCAATGAAAAACTTGAGAAATATTGAAAATAATGTGTGCGAGGATCTGGCTGGGGAAAATAGTATTCAAATTGATAGAAGCACAGTGGTAACTTTAAGTTTTCTTTAAAAAAATCTATTATTAAATTGAATCCATTATAGACACACAGTTTGAAGGAATTAACTGACATATGGTAGCCCATCAACACCTAGAACTAAATAAGATCTATTCTTCAAATGAAATAGAGAAAATGTAATATTTTAGGTATTTTTCTAAATTTTTACAACTCAGCTTTGCATTATTACCTCTACTTATTAAAAAAAATAATAATAAGAGACTGAGGGTCTCAGGAAGTTAAAAAAAAAAACAAACTTCTCTAACATCAAGTGGTTTGTGAAGCTTGGAGGTTGGATTTGGACATGGGTCTGTTTCTTCCGGTTCTTATATTATGTTAGCCTACTTGCCATCAAAGATATTTTGTTGTCCTTGTTGGTCTTTTGTTACTGTTTAAACTTATGTGCATACCTAGAGTAAATGTTACTTTAGAGAAGAAAACAAAAAAAAAAAAGTCAAAGTTCTTCATATTGAGCAGATAGATCAAACTGAGTATGAGAAAGCTCACACTTATTTTGAGAAGGCAAATTGTTTTCTCCTTGTTATTTTTATGTTAATTGTTGAATATTCTTTTCTGGGATATAGAAATAATAGCATTTTCTTTCTACTCATATTCAGCTATTCAGTTATTTTCAACCTAAGTGAGCCCATTTTTAGTAATATATTAGATTTCTTTTTATTGTATGAAACACACAAATATGAATCTGAAGAAAGTTGTTAAGTTGGGCTATAAATATCTAGAAACCAGTTCCATATAGTTTAGAAAGAAAAGAAATCACAAGATTATGATGTAGCTAAGTTTGTGGTTCTTATTTTTGTGAGGATTTTCAAACTAAGTGCTTGAATAAATTTAGTGAAATCTATTTCATAAATACCAAGAAAATCAAACTTTTAGAAGTTACTTTACTTCTTGGCAAATTGTTACTTTAAAGCATTTCAAACACCCTATAAAAGAAGGCCTTCTCCATTAATACACTCACAGACAACAATATTTGGATAGATTAAGTGAAATGAATCAGAAACACATGGATTTCATTACTTTCAAAGTAAACATGAGTTTGAACATTATTGGGAAAGTGTCTAGCAAAACAGGACCAAAACATTTAAAAAATGGATTAATGAATTTCAGAAACCCTAAGTAGCAAAAAAAGAAAAGAAACAGAAAACTGATTTATAATTAAAACTGAATAAAAGGGATGTTAATTTAAATAATTTGAATTTTACTCTATTTTAGAATGCTCTCTAGTTTAACTCAGGTAACTATTTTGCTTATGTGAACTAATAATGTCACAAACAAGTGATTGTACTATTCTATACATACAAAAAGAAGCAATGTACAATGTCCTCTTGATATATCTAATGAAACCCTCTATGATCTGGCTCCTTTTATCCTTCCCCTTGCAATAGGGTGAGAAAAAGGAAGAGAATATGGCTGGACCACACAGCTTGAAGAGTGATCTTTGCTGTTTAAGGGATGATCTTCTCTGTGTCAGTGCCCTGTACAGTACCTGATACTTAGGAGACACCTAACATGTTTGTTAAATTTAAAAAAAAATGAGGTACCCAGCACTCCAGCTCCTTGCGCGCTCGCCTCGCCTCGTGCGGGCTCCAGCCTCAGCCTCAGTTCCGGGCTTGAGTGGCTCAGCCGTCCCCCCATCCTGGCCCCCGAACGCGGCTCGAATGGCAAGTCAAAATTCTTTCCGGATAGAATATGATACCTTTGGTGAACTCAAGGTTCCAAATGATAAGTATTATGGCGCCCAGACTGTGAGATCTACAATGAACTTTAAGATTGGAGGTGTGACGAAACGCATGCCAATCCCAGTTATTAAAGCTTTTGGCATCTTGAAGCGAGCGGCCGCCGAAGTAAGCCAGAATTACGGTCTTGATCCAAAGATTGCTGATGCAATAATGAGGGCAGCAGATGAGGTAGCTGAAGGTAAATTAAATGATCATTTTCCTCTCCTGGTGTGGCAGACTGGATCAGGAACCCAGACAAATATGAATGTAAATGAAGTCATTAGCAATAGAGCAATTGAAATGTTAGGAGGCGAACTTGGTAGCAAGAAAGCTGTGCATCCCAATGATCGTGTTAATAAAAGCCAGAGCTCAAATGATACTTTCCCCACAGCGATGCACATTGCTGCTGCAGTAGAAGTTCATGAAGTACTGTTACCAGGACTACAGAAGCTACATGATGCTCCCAATGCGAAATCCAAAGAGTTTGCGCAGATCATCAAAATTGGGCGTACTCATACTCAGGATGCTGTTCCACTTACTCTTGAGCAGGAATTCAGTGGTTATGTTCAACAAGTGTCGTATGCGATGGCGAGGATAAAAGCTGCCATGCCAAGAATCTATGAGCTTGCAGCTGGAGGCACCGCTGTCGGTACCGGCTTACATACTAGAGTTGGCTTTGCAGAAAAGGTTGCTGCAAAAGTGGCTGCACTCACAGGGTTTCTCTTTGTCACTGTTCCAAATAAATTTGAAGCTCTGGCTGCTCATGATGCTCTGGTTGAGCTCAGTGGAGCCATGAACACCACTGCTTGCAGTCTGATGAAGATCGCAAATAATATTCGTTTTCTGGGTTCTGGTCCTCGGTCGGGACTGGGTGAACTGATCTTTCCTGAAAATGAACCCGGAAACAGTATCATGCCAGGCAAGGTGAACCCACTCAGTGTGAAGCGATGACCATGGTTGCAGCCCAAGTCATGGGGAATCATGTCGCTATAATCGTTGGAGGCAGCAATGGACATTTCGAGTTGAATATTTTCAAGCCAATGATGATTAAAAATGTGTTACACTCAGCCAGGCTGCTGGGGGATGCTTCAGTTTCCTTCACAGAAAACTGTGTGGTGGGCATCGAGGCCAACAGAGAAAGGATCAACAAGCTGATGAACGAGTCTCTAATGTTGGTGACAGCTCTCAATCCTCACATAGGGTATGATAAGGCAGCGAAGATTGCTAAGACAGCACACAAAAATGGATCAACCTTAAAGGGAACTTCTATTGAACTTGGTTATCTCACAGCAGAGCAGTTTGATGAGTGAGTAAAACCTAAGGACATGCTGGGTCCAAAGTGATTTAAATACATTTATAATGGAAATAAACATGTTGTGTAAAATAAAAAAAAAAAAGAGATCACTGAAAGAGTCATAAATAATGAATTTTAAATAGGATGAAGGAATTGAGACCCAGTAAAACAAAATGATCACTCAAGATCATGCGAAACCCGAATGTAAAGCCATAATCTGATCATGTGAACCCATGACCTGATTCCTTAACTCCCTTCTATATCCATTTCCATCTCTAAAGAAAGCTTTTTTAGGGCTATGAATTTAAGTTCAAAGTCATACATACACAAACCAAAGAATGCTAGTGAAAATTGAAGAGGTATGGGAATGTAAAATTTAAAGGGTAAGGTACAAAAATGCCTGAGTTCCTATCAATTCACTGGAAATGAAAATGCAAAAGAGCAGAAAGATGGGGGGTTGGGAGAGAGGGGTGAAGAAGATACTCAAATGCTTAGAATTCCAAGGAAGTCACACTATCTTATTCATTAGATGAGTCATTGCAGTTGTTTTCAAAACATCACTAGAATTTTCCAAATATAGATTTGCCTTTGAGTTTTATGATACTTTCAAATCAGATCATTTTACTGTTGCTTTTTATTGTGGATGAATGATCTCACATAGCAAAGCAACCTCAAAATTTCAGACTGAGGTATACTTCAGATTTCATCTATGCCTCAGTCTTTTCTCAGATGGACACCTTTTAAACAAACATGTTTTATAATCAAGCTTCTTTAAGGTGCAACACAAGGAAAGTATCCTTCTTTGACAACAAATTAATATAATCTTAGGCATGTCAGATTTGTTTAAAATTACTCAAACTTTGATTCCATTATTTAAGCACAATAATATAGTCAATACAAATGGGATTATTTTTCATAAAGCATGTAGATTTTTTTTTCTTAAATTGAGAGCTCTTCACTATTTTATCATATTGAAATTTGTCCAAGGAAAGGGAAAATATTGTAGAAGATGTCTGTTTATTAACTTAGGAAATTCTGATAATGTTCAATTCAATTTTACTCATGAATAATGAAATTTATTAATGCACAAATTTTGTCTATGAATAATTGTATTTTTAATTTATCTTTGATTTTCCCCCCTTTAGTCATAGATCCAGGGGTAAAAAGCCACTTGAGCAATGGTGAAGTCCATACCTTGATTTGTACTAAAGGAACTGAGACCTCTAGAGGTTAATTTCCTTTTGTGCTCATTCATAGAGCTAGCTACTACAGATTAACGTAAAGGACAAACCAGTGGGGGAAAATGTATTTGTAAGGTTGCAGTGCCCACAATGTAATTTAGTAAAGTGGCATTCAACTTTGCTACCAATAGTCATGGCAGTTTAGTACAATGAACAACTACTAATATGGAAAATTGAGATCTCTGAGATAAGGGACAGAATTTTCCATTTAAGAGGTATTTAAAACTTCTGGTCCTTTATACCTTCCTTTTCATCTTTCATGATTCAATTCTCTGTTATTTTCTTTGCAAAGTCTTGTTCTCTCCCTGCTTTGCCAGGGTAAAATGACCTACTCTCTCCTATGTACTCCCAGGGCACTTCTTAATAATTACATAATCACACTTACCCATAATATATTATGTGGTGATAACTAGTTATTTATCTATTTCCTTGAATAAAAATAAATTCTGGAAGGAAAGGCACTGAAATTTATTCATATTTGTTTCCCTAACAATCGACACATTACTTAGTATATAAAAAGAGTTTGGTGAATGAAATGAAGTTTAAGTCTATAATAATATAACAATTCTAGAAAGATTATGAAATTACAGGCCTATACATAAAAGATAAGATCTGTAAGCCTAATCTGTGGTATATAATCACCATGGTATATTAAACAAGATGGAGACATAGGAGTGGTGCAGTGAATCATTGAAATAAGAACACATGATAAGAAATTAGATGACCTACATCAGAACCAAGGAATCCAGGCATAGGAATCCAGAACCAGTACCCCAAGTGATAGACTCCTTGTCTAAAACCCACACTACAAAGTAAACATTTCTCTTTAAATTAGAATCAACAAAATGAAGTAGCTTAACACCTCCAAAAAACAAGAGTCAGTCTTATGAACCAGAGAAGTTGTATAATAAGGCTTTTCTAAGCAGATACTCTTTAACCTACCATCATAGACAGCTCTACCACCTAAAAGCCAGAATCTGGAGACTGGCGAAATTAGGAAGGAAAAAAGAGAGGGATGCTAAATGATTTCACATGTTTCTTGATATTTGAGCTACCTACTCCTTTGATATTCTGATTTTTAAAAATGAATGTAGGCCGGGCACGGTGGCTCATGCCTGTAATCCTAGCACTCTGGGAGACTGAGGCGGGAGGATCGCTGGAAGTCAGGAGTTCCAGACCAGCCTGAGCAAGAGAGAGACCCCGTCTCTACTAAAAGTAGAAAGAAATTAGCTGGACAACTAAAAATATATAGAAAAACTCAGTCACGCATGGTGGCACATGCCTGTTGTCCCAGCTACTTGGGAGGCTGAGGCAGCAGGATTGCTTGAGCTCAGGAGTTTGAGGTTGCTGTGAGCTAGGCTGATGCCACGGTACTCGAGCATATGCAACAGAGTGAGACTCTGTCTCAAAAAAAAAAAAAAAATGAATGTATGCACAAATAATCTTAAACTGACAGTTCAGGGACCACGGACCCTTCTCCAGGTACTTCTGTAGTTCTAGATAGAACCCTTGGAAAGAAACTGTAAGATAGATAAAACTAAATTAATGTGAAAAAACTAAAGGTCACCTCTGCTACAATTAAGCAGTTTGACTAAGTTTTGCCATTCTGTTGGCAACTTTTAATAATTTTTGCTTTTTTTTCATTTCTTTAATTCCCTAGAGATGTCCCTTAAATTGATGCATTTATATACATGCACACAAGCATAGAGCTCAGTTACTGAAATTTTTCCCATCTTAAATTAAAGACAGCTAGTATCAAAACTATAGAATATGCAAATGATTAAACAAGAAAAAAACCTTATTTTATTTATTTTAAACCCCAATATATGTTCCTCATTTAAAAAGTGTACTTTAGTAAAGTGGCATTAAATTTTCATTTGCTTTAAGAATAAAATAATTTTCTGGTTACAGAAAATTTTTTTAACTATCAGAGGATTAGCATGCATACAAAGATGATTTAATTATGTTCAAAAACGTAAAATCCATAAAACACTAAGCCTAATTTGAATATAACTTAATTTTTTATAAGATAGAATTAACCAAATCATGTAGTGGTTTTGTACACATATTGATCATATTATATAGAAACTACATAGCTATATATACTGTGTAATATATATTACAATATAATATATAAGTATAAATATATAACTGTATATATAATATATATAGAGAGAGTTCTATAATATATAGAACTATGTTGTCTATGCCACTATACTATGAGTTCCTGGAAGGAAATTCTATGCCTCGTTAATTATTTTGTCATAAGAATTAGCACAGCATCTATGGAGCTCCATGCATGTTACACAATAGAAATGCGTTGTGTCTGGTATATACTATGTGTGAGGAGATACTGCAACGAGAGAAGGGTAGAAGATGTGTCAAAAAAGATATATTAGGTCTCTAAATGTCTTGATCAGTTCATTTAGATTTTGTCTTGGGGTAATGAAAAGCTGTAGAAAGTTAAGTAGATATGCAAAATGTTTGTGTTTTACAAAGAAAATTCTAATTTCATTAGAGATGAAAAACAAAAAATAGAAAATAGAAGGCCTGATAAGAGGCTATTAAAATAGTCTAGAGGAGTCTATATGAAAACAAACTAGAAGAATCCAGGTAAAAAATGTCTGTACCCAAGACAATGACACTGGGAAAGAGTAAGAAGAGGGAGTTTCTAGAAAAAAAACATGTACACACTGTGGTTCTGTGAAGTTTAATCCAGAAATGCAAGGATGGTTCAAGATTAGGAAATCTGTTAAGAAAATTTATTAGTACATCAAGCACTTATTGTGCCCTTTGCTTAGAACACCTTCCCCAACCCCATACATTTTGAAGGCTCAAGTTCACCCTCAGGTCACTCAGGTGTCTGTTCTTCTGTCCCCTCTGCAAAGAGACCTTAATGGACCTCCCTTTCTAAAGGAGCACTTAGCATCTTTCTCTAATCTCTTATGCTGTTTATTTATCTAACAGTAATTGCTACCTAACCCTATATTATTTACCTTTTTCTTGTTTCTTTATTATCTGTCTCCTCTACTGAAATTCTAGATGCATAAGAACAGGACTTGGACCCTTAGTCATTGCTATATCCCCAGCATTTAGAACAATCCTGGCACAAAGTAAGTGCTCAAACAAGTTTTAACATTTACCTTCATAAATTTTAAAAATACATTTGATGTAATTTCAACATCTATTGTTTTAAAAGAAATGGATGAACTTAATATAAGTATTCAAGATCTATATGAAAAATACTTCAAACTCCTAGAATGACTCCAAAGACAAAGAGAACAAATGTAAAGGCATACTGTGTTCTTAGAAAAATGTATCTTAAAGAACTAGGTCATCCCCGTATTAACCTACAAATTTAAACTTATTCCAATAAAAATACAAAATAAGATGTTTTAAATTAAAAAAAAAGATTAAAAAATATCTTGTGTTCATGATGGAGGCAAGCCCTACCAGAGAGTAACATATATGTATATAGGGATTTTATTCCCCTTCATATACATTCACTCTCTAGATTATGGAGCATTTCAAATCCATTTAATGCCAATGGCTATTTTATTTTATCTATAGCCTGAGATTCCTCACTGAAGTCCAAATTTGTATATCCAATTTTCTATTCAATACCCACTTTGATATTTAACAAATATATTAATGTTAATTGTTCCAAAGTGAGCTCTTAACTTTTACCTACCTCAAAATCTGATCTTTCCACCATTTTTGCAATCTGAAATAAAGGCAAAAACATCCTTTCAGTTTTTCTGACTGTATGTAATACACATAGTCATCTTTTATACCTCATTCTCTCTTTTAAATCTACCATTCAATCTGCCATCAAATA